AAAACAACTGTTACCCAAACCTAACTAATGATAGTTCGTCAGTCATCCTTTAAGCAAAAATAATAGCAATTCAGTTCATAACTCAAACAGTAGTACAAGTGCTTTTCTAGAAATAACTGTCCAGTATACGGAAGCAGTGCTTTATGTATACCTCCCATTTTCTCAGCACAGTATTAAAAAGACATTTCTTTACATGCTACTAATAGAACCCCTTTTAATAAACTTAAGCCCAAGGGTCAAGATGAAAAATTTAAAATTAGTCATTTTACTGCTTCATCAAGGACATTCTAAAGTGAGAGAAAAACACCTCTTTAACGTGTGGCAATAAAAAATACAAATAACTAGTGCTGTTTGGTGCCACTGCTTTGATTCATGCTGAGATGCCAGGAGTTTTATTCACCTACTGTTACTTTTGTGCCATCAGTGCAAATATCAACATAGTAAAAAGGTGAGCGATGTCTTAATATCACAATGAAAAAGGTTTTGTTTTACCCTTAGTGATTTTTTGGAAAAGGTCCTGGGAACCCCTAGCAGTCACAGACCACACTCTGAGCATCACTGTTGTGTGTTATATGGGTATTTAGAGGAGTTATCCGAAAGGAAATATTTTGAGGTTGCATATTTTTGATACCTTAAAGGATATGTATTAAGTCCAATTACCCTTAACAATTTAACATAACAAAAATAATAAAACATTTAACATAAAATTATATTAAAATCTTATATTTTATGCAAATACTGTAATATACAAATCCACTTTACCAAAGCTGTATTATCATTGCTAAATTGGTCAGTAAATGAACAGGAACTTGTTTAAATATGTTTCTTTATTTTTACCCCAAGCTCATATCTTTTTTATCTGAATTAGCAAAAGGGTCTTAGGGTTAGTCACTAGTGAAACGTGGTCTGGAGGTGGCTCCCCTAGTTCCAGAGGGTCCTCTTAAAATTGGCAAAGGTACAGATCTGAACAAGAAAGATACTGGAGTATCGTCATCATCATACTAGTAAAATACTCACTTCATTATCATAGTGATTGATTCTTATGGTACCCAGGTGTTTCTCTGTTCACTCAAATAGTACTGTGATGAAAACTTCTCATAACTAAGTAGTAAACTTGTTCTTGGGATCAGTCTGTCTACCCAGCCAGGCCCAGCCAAAGAGTTCTGTGTTTACTGACTGAAGTCCATAGAGTGTGAGGGGTGTGGGGCCTTGTAGTGAGACCCTTAATGACACTAAGTCAAGGCTAAGTCAAGTAGTACCGATCACTAGGAGGCTCAACTTCCCGTGCTCCACTACTCAAGGTGTGATGCATGAATGGTTCCAGTCTGCTAACTGGTCTGAGTGCAGAGGTAAAATACCATACTGTGTCCTGAAGGAGCTCACAATACAAATGGAAAGTAGATAAACACTGACAATTCAGTGTGGAAATGTTGAGAAGAGGGTGCTTAGGAACACAGGAAGGGTACCCAACTCAGGGCGGGAGGATGAGTCAGGAAAGGTTTTTTGTAGAAGATGATGAATGATTGGACTGAGTTTTAAAGGAGGAACCAAAAAAATGAGGGGGAAGTACATCTCAGGCAATGAAGAACTAAATGCGATTGTAATTATATAAGCTGCAGGTTATTAGGGTGAGAACTAAAGAAATTGTGAAGATGAAATAGAGGAGACAGATTCTTGAGATCCTAACGGTGTAACAGGATATGTTTGCAAGATTTGGGGGTCATGTTATCCGTTACCACGTATTGCTTTACTCACTGTGTTGCAACCATGCTGACCTTTTAGTTCCTCAGATATTCCAAGCTCATTCTTGACTTGAGGGCTTTGCAGTGGTTATTCCTGCAGCCTGGAATGTATATCCTTCTCCCCCAACCCCAAGATTTTGAATGGCTGGCTCCCCTTCATTCTGGTTCCAGTTCATCTGTCATTACTTTAGGGGCCTTTCCTGACTGCTCTATTTTACAGTAACCCCTCTAGCCCCTCCCTTACATTCAGCACATCACTCAACTTTGTTTTATTTTCTTCACAGTACTTGTCACAATGTGTTTACTGTCTGTCTAGACTAGGCATGAGAGCACCATTTTATTCTCAGGCGTACAGGTGCTCAAAAACTATTTGAGTGAATAAATGGGTAGCATTATGGAACTGAGTTGAGCAAGTTCGTTATACAAGTGGCTTTTTGGGTAGAAAAGATAAAGAACGTTTCACGTGGAAACACAGCTTCAGCCAAAGCTGTTATCAAGGCCAGCCAATGAGGTTGATCAGAATCAGGAAGCATATATGCTTTCTTAAGTGTCTAGTCTCTTAAAAACTACAATCAAAATTATAAAAAGTTCAAACTAACACCTTCCTAACCTAGATGCCTTCAAAAGTTAAAGTCTTGTATAACACCCAACAACATCATTAAAGAAATTCTTCTTAAATTCCTCTTAAAGTAATGGAATAAAACTTAATTCACATATTACCTAGAAATAATCTAGATCCCTAGAACTTTTAATATAATTCCAAATGCCAACAAAACCTTTGAATTTTTACAATTTTCACCATCTAGGATTAAAATATTTAATTTTATTTTATCATTGTATTTAAGACAGGTTTTTTTTCTTGTAAACTATTTCATTAATATTTATGCCTCAAGATTTGGGGCATTACAATGAAAAAAATACATAGCCTGTGGGATTTGTATGTCAGGTGATTCCTGCCTGGCAAACTGCACATAATATAAGATTTTTTAAAAACAGTACATAAAATAAGAAAAAAATATATATATATGCATTTATTGCTGAATTATGGAAACCTTTATTATTATGAAAAAGAATATTACTGTGGTATTCCTTTCAAACTATTTATCCATTTATTTTTATCCATGTTTTTTTCACTATATTTTTTTCTCCTAAATTTAGAAAAGAAGTACAGGCCGTTTACAAGGCCACTGAACAAACACATAGTTGCCTTTTGAGGACAAACCTACCTAAATGCCATGGTGTTATTTAATACGTTAAAAGTTTGTCCAATAAGCTGATCACTTACCTGGCAATACCTACTTGGTATCTCCATGGAAATTTTATTCTGTAGTGTAACTCAGCATCTTCCTGTTCATGGTTCTTACATTAATAATACTTGTGTTTTTTTTTTAAGTTGGCTATATGTAAAACCAAACTTGTCAGACTATTCTTGAAATACTACATATAAAATACCTGTCCCAGGCCTCTCACTCTATAAGAGTATAAGTTGTTAGACTCTTCACCCTTCTTCTTAGTATTTTATATTCAGTTGTATGTTATATTTCAAAATACAGATGAGAAGAGATATATTCTGTTTATTCATTATATGTGATGAAAAGTAGAAGAAAATTAAATATACTTTCCTGACCACAGTCAATAATCACAGTAAGCCAGGAGATTAGAGCAATGAATATATGGCTATACAGTTCTATTCAGGACAAAGTTTTAAGCTCTGGTTACTGTCACTTAGCTGAAAAACTAAGATTACCCAAAACAGTTTAGCGCTGAAAAATCTAAACGTTAGTAAGCTAGACAGTGGTTAACGTAACATACATTTCTGTTCATTCATTCATTTACCAACGAGGCACTGTTTTGGATACAGCAGTGAACAAAGTGGACAAAAACCCTTGCCCTCATGGAGGTTACATTTTCATGAGGAAAACAATAAGCAAAATAAATTAGCTCAATGGGTGATAATGATTATTTGATGATAATGACGATAATACTAGGTAATTCTTACTAAGGGTGGTCTGTGTGCCAGGCACTGGCGCCAGTGTTTTGCAAATATTAATTCAATAATTGTCTGAAAATAGATATCACTCTATCTCCATGTTATAGATGCAGAAGCTAGGCATAGAGATTAAGCACCTTATCCAAGGTCATACAGAAAGTAAAGCCAGAGCTGAGATTTAAACAGACAGTTTAGTTCCAGAACTAGCACTTTTAACTGTTACATATTATTACATACTGCTTGTACTAAGTGTGAGAGGAGGGAGATAGCTACACTGGACTTAGAGTAAGCATTATGAAACTACCTAAAAAAATTGTAAATGAAGAGATTTAAGAAACTCATGCATGGAACATTTTAAGTCATCTATATAATGCACCATAAACAACTTCCCCACCAACCAATGGGAAGGTACATGTGGCAGATCAAGAGCTAATTTTCTTAGAATGCAAAGAACTCTTACAAACCAATTAGAAAAGAGTTACTAATCCAATAAAACATGGACAAAAAAACATGAACAGGCAGGTGAAAGATAAAGAAATACACACAGACCAAAACAGAGGAAAGGATATTTAGGGTTTTTTCTTTTTTGCATATTTAAATATATTTAAAAGTAGATCTAGATAAATCATTAAATTTAATAATGACTAATAGGGAGACAAGAGTTATAGGGCTAATTAGAAGTGTCAAAAAGGCAGCTGATAGATGTGCATGGAAGTTGTAGTTTGAGAGCATACCAGCCAAGGTTCTAGGAGACAATTAAGCCCTACAGAAAATGGTTTGAGGGACCATTTTTCTCAAGGGTGATTTGTAGCTAGTACATTGTTGATGCATCAATGAGAAGTTAATTCATTACATACAATGGGTGCCTTAGGGTATTAGCATTCTCTCTTAGAATTTCTGTTGAGAAGGTCTGGTTATTAGGATTGGAAATAATGACAGTACCTTTAAGAGACTTATCAGGAGAAACCCAGAGAGAATATTTTGAAAATTGTATGAAAAGGGTAAAGGGAAAAAAATTAGGGACCAAAGGGGAGGTATGAGAGTCAAATGTGGTCAGTGTTCATTCTTACTGTAGGTTAATTTTCAGGAACTCACCTGGGTCTTACCTAACGCAATTTAAAAAGCTACATGTGAGTATTCCATTAAATGATGCGTAAAAATGTTAAAATTTAAAATTTTATTATTTCACTAAAAAACAATTTATGATACAGCAAGAAAATAGACTCCACTATGCTATTTGTAATCCTGACTATGTATTTTATTTCTAGGGAACCTTTTATTATTTTATCAGGAGGTTTGTCATACGATACTGTAGGAAGAAGACCTTGCTTAACAGTTATGCATGGGAAAAGTACTGCAGTGCTAGAAATGGACTATTCAATTGTTGATTTCCTGACGCTGTGTGAAACCCCATACCCAAATGGTAAGCTTTGTGTCTTTAAAGTTCATTCGCTATAGATATGTTATTCAGAACAAAGACCTATTTGTCATCTAAGTAGTTTCCTTATCCTGTTGTGCCAGTTCTTCCATGGGAGAGATGCTGCCTTCATAACTTTGTAAATTTTATTTGAGAAGTAAATTTTGTTTTTAAACTGTATCTGTTTAATATTACATATTAGTAGTAAGTGCCTTTGAAGAATAAACAAAACTGTCCACACTAAGAAACATTTAAAAATCCTCTAAATTACTAATGTATTAGTTACAGTTCTCAAAAAAAAACAGAACCAATAGGAGATTTTAGAGAGAAAAAGAGAGCAAGAATATGAATTTATTTTAAAGGAATTGTGAAAACTTACTGCAGACTGAAAATTCAGGAAAGAGTTTGATTTGCAGTCTTGAGTCTGAATTCTGAAGGCTGGAAACTCAAGCACGTTTCTGAGTTGCCATCTTGAGGCAAATTGCATTTTTCCGAACACCTCCTGTCTTTGCTCTTCAGGCCTTCAACTGATTGGATGAGACCCACCCACATTATCTAGGATAATCTGCTTTACTCAGAATCTACTAATTTAAATGTTAGTCACATCTAAAAAATACCTTCACAGCAACATCTAGACTGGTGTTTGACCAGACAGCTGGGCACCACAGTAAAGACAAGTTAACGCATGAAATTAACCATTACAACTGGCATGTTATTATTTCAAGAGGAATTTATCTGGATCTTTTTTTACTTTATTTGAAGCTAATTGAGATATAAATATGTAATGCATTTTATAATTAACATGCACATAGAAAATACCCAAGAAAGAGATTATAATATTATAGTAGTACTCTAGTGGGTTCCTGTGAGATCCAGTATGAGTTGTTCTTATGGGTATTAAGATTTAAATTTGGGGTTTGTTGTTCATGTCCTGCCTTGGACTTTGCAATACCATGGAAGGTACTGTGAGCTTCTTGTCTAATTCATCTTTACAGAATAAATAATTTTTTATGGGGTGTTATATAGATTTATCTCATTTAAAACATACTGGCCTTGCATTGTATGAAGTATAATATCAGAATGTTAAATACTTGAGAGAATGGAACAAAATAAAATAAAAACTAAGCAAGAAATGTTTGTTATCTCATTTGCTGTCCTCTTGCATATTTAAAACTATTGTTAATGCATTGTTTTCCTATTCCAGATTTTCAAGAACCATATGCTGTGGTTGTTCTACTAGAAAAGGATTTAGTACTTATAGACCTTGCACAAAATGGGTAAGAAATAAAATTTGGTGAGCAGTTACTTTAGTGTGTGGTGAAAAAAAGAGTCTTTTTAGCATAGGATTGGCTGTTTCATTTCTTTGAAAATGCTACATTTATATCCATAACCTGGACCTCTGTTTAGAACTGCAGATAAACATTTCTCATTACCTGCCAAATTCCTCTGTTATGTTACTCATAGAAATTTCTTGTTTAAGTCAAGATTTGTTGAATTTCTGAAATTTCATATGATTCAACTTAATACTTGGATACTCTGGGGGCACACAAAATCAGGTATGTCCAAAATTCATCCCCATCACAGCTTTCCTCCAGAATAACTCTTGTAGTCTCTCCACCCATATTCACTTTCTGTTGCCGTGTGTCATGAACATTGTCAGGTAATTTTACATGCAACCCCAATCTTGTTACTCTTTTCTTTAAACCACTATAGTTCTCTATTGGTTTTTTGTGTAAAAACAGTTTCTCAGCCTGCTACTCTACGCTGGAGGAATTAAGGGTACATTTCCAACCTGGTGCCTGTTCGCTAGAAAAACTGAATGGTGTATTAAACAAACACCACACTTCCATGTCTTTTCTTATGTAACTCCCAACAGCTGAAGCATTCCACTTGCTTCACTGCCATCAAAAATCCACATAACTTTCAAAGGCAGCCTCTTCAAGCTTTTCTTATTCTCTCTTAACCACATATATCATATCTGATCTATAAATTCTCACCATAGCGCCTTTGCAACTTTTTGTGGTATTTCCCATATTCTTCTTGTTCGTAGATGATAGTATGTTTACTTATAAATTTTTTGAATGGAAGAACATTGTATTACTTATTTGTATTTCTTGAGAGATAATCATTAAATATGGTTTTAAACGAGTTTACCCATTCAATATTTCAGTGTTTCTCAACTGGGGGCAATTTTGCCCCCCAAGAGATATTTGGCAATGTCTGTGTAGACATCTTCTGTTGTGGGGAGGGGTGCTACTGGCATCTAGTGGTAGAGGACAGGGATCCTGCAAAACATCCACAATGCATGGGACAGTCCCCATAATAAATTATCTGATCCAAAATGGGAATAGTACTGAGATAGGGAAACCCTAAAGTGTAAGTGAACAGTATTATTTACCTTACTTTAAGGCATTCCTAAATTCACATCAACTTAGTGTATGCTACCTGTAATAATGAATTTTTTTTTCTTCTTGAAAATAACAAGACCATGTGGAACAAAGGATAACTTATTATTAAATAAGTTTAAATATTTTTTTAAGTTTTCATTGTTGTATTAATCATAGATAATAGTTCATTAAGTTAATGTTTTTCTTTTCCTGTTGTTAAAGGTATCCTATATTTGAAAATCCCTACCCTTTGAGTATACATGAATCCCCTGTTACATGTTGTGAATATTTTGCTGATTGTCCTGTGGACCTTATTCCTGCACTTTATTCTGTTGGAGCTAGACAGAAACGTCAAGGTTACAGCAAAAAGGTACTGAACATGAGTTTTAATAATTACTGTTACATTTCAGTATTTTATATTTATCACCTTGGAGTGGTTGATAATGATACCTTTTCTAGAGAAATTAAAATCCTTTTTGAATATGAAATATGTTGTGTGCTCTTGTCATAGATGTATTATGAAGATATATAGTATCCTTGGAAATTGCTTTATACAATAATCTTTTCTTATAGGAATGGCCCATTAATGGAGGCAATTGGGGCTTGGGTGCTCAAAGCTACTCAGAAATAATTATTACAGGGTAAGTAAAAGTCCATTTTCACCTAATGAATCAATAATAACTAAATATGATTAAGACTACATAAAAATTAATTGGGCAGGTAGTGCTTGCAGTAACATAATAAGAAATAAGTTATTGTATAGAACCTGCCAGTTTACCCTAAATTTTACCTTTTTCCTCATTTTGGTGACTGTCTTTTCAAGTAACAATATATTTAACTTCAAAGAGAGAAATAATGTAATTTTTTTTTCTTCAACACATTCTTAACTCATTTGCTTTTCACAGGCACGCTGACGGGTCAGTTAAGTTCTGGGATGCTTCTGCGAGTAAGTATTCTGAATCGTGTTTGTTACATGCTCTACAATCATTGCTTTTATATAGCCTGTTTTGTAATGATTGCATAACCAACATTTAATTTGAAATTTAGAGACTATAAATTTAATACCTGACTTATCAAGTATATGAGTTTAGAATTTATAATAAAGACATTTTAAGGATGTTAATTAGTAAGTCAAGAATAATTTTCAGCAGAAATACCCAAGTCCTTTCTTCAAACCTTCTCTTCCTAACTCAGAGATAGGAAAAGTGCGCATATGTTTCAAATCAACAGAAATCTGCTGAATAATTTTAATGCCTGATTCTAAACTTATCTTTGCAAGATATATATGGTCGCTACATTAGCAAAAAAGGAAAGAATGCTTTGAATGAATAATGTTTGCAATTAGAATGCAGTTAACTGAGGGTATATTATGTTTCACCATGTAGAAGTGTTAGATAATATTGGTACCTTTCAGAGAGAAAATATGTAGAAAATAAATCTGCAAAGCAAAATATGTGCCTTATTGTTTTTATTATATTTATGCAATTGTTTTTTACAAAATCTTTTTGTTACTCTTTTTTTTCCAGATAATTTAAATTCATCGTAATGGTGTTTTTTTTTTTTCTTTTTAATGAATACAATGAGTACATCTTTTTTGGTCAGTGAGTACAGTGAATGCATTATGTAAAGGAATAGTAGAGAAATGTAGACCTAGGAATAAAACTGTGGTTCAAAAAATATAGTTTATCTTCCTTACGTGATATGACTGATTAAATATTACCTGATATTTGTTTCTTTTATATTAAGATATCATATTTTATCTTTTTTTTTTTAGTAAATCTACAAGTATTATATAAATTAAAGACATCTAAAGTATTTGAAAAGTCAAGAAATAAAGATGACAAGCCAAACACAGACATTGTAGATGAAGATCCATATGCCATTCAGATCATCTCCTGGTGTCCAGAAAGTCGAATGTTGTGCATAGCTGGAGTTTCAGCTCATGTCATTATTTATAGATTCAGCAAACAAGAAGTGATTACAGAAGTCATTCCGGTAGTAGTCTCTTAATTAGTTTCAATGTCAGATGTCTGACATCTTAAAGTTTTAGAATTATTTAGGAGGTTCTTTGCAGTCACTTTTAAAACACCTCAGTATTTACATTGCCATCTATCTTCTGTGACAGAAAGTCATATTTCTTTGTATATCTTCTTACTGAACATTTAAATCTTTAAATATATTCTGTTTCATTTAAGGAAAGATAATATAAGTATGAGCATACTCTAATTTAGTATTAACAGGAGTGCCGTAAATTCTAAAATCATAATACATGTGTGCATGTACTTGCACACATACACATGATCATTTTTAAAAAGCTGAGTCAGGAACCTTTTTTCCTTTGCTAAATCCTTACCTTTAGAAATCTCACTAAATTTTTCCTTTAAAAGTGTTCTTTCCACTGTAGTGTACGTGTGTGTATGTATAAACTGTAATAAAATGAACAGTAATTATTAGGAGAGGGTAAACTTTTTACTTTTACAACAGATGCTTGAAGTTCGGTTGTTATATGAGATAAGTGATGTGGAATCTCCAGAGGGTGAACAGGCACCACCTTTGCCAACACCAGTTGGGAGTGCCAATCCTCAGCCCGTTCCTCCTCAGTCTCATCCTTCTACCAGTAGCAGTTCATCTGATGGGCTTCGTGATAACGTCCCTTGTTTGAAGTAAGTTATCTAAAAATACAGGTGTTTTGGAAGTTATCTTCTAATTTAGATAAATTGTAAACATTCGTAAAGTGAAGTAACATCTTCCTGTGATGGAGTACAATGACATAACCACATCTCTTTTTGTGTTTTGACGTGGTTAATTCAACTCTTTTTTTCTGTGGCACCAAGAGAAATATGATTGCATTCCATGATTTTATCCTTAAAGTACTAAGATTTGATCTCTAAACATACTGGTAGATGAGCATGGATCTTTCCTCTATATAGAGCTTCGTCTTCTAAATCCGTCATTGTTTTTTAGTCTGGATTTATATGTGGATCAAATGTATATTTAGGCTGCTTTCTTCCACTCTGAAAATTCTGTTTTTTCAGTCTTTAGAGATTCAGTTGTTGGGTAATCATTTTCTTGTCTTTTTCTGAATCTTCTCTAGCATCACAGTATCGTTATTTAAATGCCTTTATTGTGGAAATCCAGATTTGAATACATTTTGCTTTTTTACAGGAATAAATTGGACAAGGTTTAGTTTTCCTTTTTTTCTGTCCAATTTATATTATTGAGTGGTCAAATTTTGTTAAGCATATGTGCCTTAAATATGGCACAGAAAGAAAAGAGGAAAGAGTTAAAATCATTGAAGGAGTTCATGAAGACTTATTAAAAGTATTACATTTACAGAGAAGTCGGTTAGGGCAGTGACTGAAAACTGATCGTGGAAAACGTCAGAGATTCAGTACAAGAGTGGGAGACAGAAACCAGGCTGTAGTAGGTTCAAGCTGGGGCCGGTGGCGAGAAAGACAGTTTGCATTTGTTAACAGAACCGGGATTTATACTGTTTTGGTTTTAGATCTGCTAGAATCTTTTATTGGTGAATAGTTCAGCAGTTCCTGTGGAGAATATCCGTGTAATCAAAACTGCATTCACCCCAGAGATGAGGCAGATTGGTTTATGTGACAATCACTTGTGATATAAATCTATAGAAAAGTAGAGTTTGTTTTTTTTTAAATCTGCTTTATATGTTTACATGAATTTGAGGTTGTGTGTTCTGTGCCAGTGGTTCTCAAACGGGGATGACTTTGCTCCTCAGAGTGTGCTTGGCAATGTCTGCAGATATTATTTGTCACAACGGGAAGAAAGGGTGCTACTGGCATCTAGTGTGTAGAGGCCAGGGATGATGCAAAACATCCTACGGTGCGCAAGACAGTGCCCCATGACAAAGAATGACCCGGTTCAGAATGTCAGTAACGCCAAGGATGAGAGACTGATCTGACCTAACGAATATAAGCATTGAGGTTAAGCACCTATCAGTACATTCTCAGAAAGGTCTCAAGTTTCTCCTCCCTCTCTCCCCCCTCCCCCTCCCCCTCCCCCTTCCTTTCTCTCTCAGGTATATATACACACACCTCCTTTCTGCTACAGTCTGGCATATGTTTAGATAGAATGAGACTTGGTAATAAAAGAATTCTACATCTTTCCCTTTTGTTACTTATTCTGTACTACTTTACTTTAAACTTAAATTTGTAAAATTTTTGTTAATGTCATTTCTTCAGATTTTAATGTGTATTTCTCCTGCTTTTTGTCAATTTAATTTTTATAAGCATATAAAGTACAGTTTGTCTTTGAGGTTTATTTTGGTAACGTATTTCTGGTAACAAGTTTGAGATTTTTGTCTAAAATCCACTCATTCACTAGTGACTTTTTAAAATCATAGGCAATTTGAGTTATATTTCTTTTTTTTAACCATTTTAATAGTTTTCAGGTTAATGCAGTTATTTATTAACTTCATATTGTTTTAGTCCACAGTCTCAAAAGCCAATTTTTAAAAGTCATAAATATAGCTAAATTGATGTGAAAATAACTAATACTTAGATTTTTTTGTTTGTTTTTATACAAAATGTTTTTGTACATAATTGGGTTGGAGAGTTGTTTTTTTTTTTCCTATTGAAGTCTAGTTGATTTACAATGTTGTGTTAATTTCTGCTGTATGGCAAAATGATTCAGTTATACATACATATATATATATATTCTTTTTTAATATGTTTTTCCATTATGGTTTATCATAGGATATTGAATATAGTTCCCTGTACTATACAGTAGGACCCTGTTGTTTATCCACTCTATATAGAAGAGCTTACATCTGCTAACCCCAGCCTCCCACTCCATCCCTCCCTGTACAGTAATTGTTTTTCTGAAGAAACATTTTAAAAGCAGCTATTCAATTTACTTCTTTTACCAATAAACTTTTGGTTTTATTTAAGTATTTTAGTTGTGCTTTTGCAGGGTGTTAGTCCAAACCTACAAATTATTTTGAAACTACAAAGCCTCCAGACATTATTTTGACATTTAAAATACATTTGTACAAATTACAGAGCTTTTTATAAAAGTTCAACCTTTATCTTTAAAAAGTAAACAAATTAATTTGTATATATTAAAAATATTAAAATGGTAACTTGCATATAACCATTGTAGACATTAAACGTAACGCCCACCCAACCCCCATTTTGTATTTTTAAAATCTAACATATTTCATCATTTCTTGATTCGGTTTCTAATTTTTTACCAATTGGGGATTTTTCAGCAAGTTTGACTTATTTTTGCTTTAGAACTTTTTTGTTCCTTCAAACTAAGTAAAATAAGAATTCCATGACTTCTGTGTGTCTTCATCACTTACATCTTAAATGTGCCTGTATATGCATTTCTAAAATTATCCCTGAATGCCTGTTTCTGCTCTTGAGAATCTAATCTAATGTGCACATTAAGTATGCCAGAGGGAGGGTAGACACTTCCTTGAACCTTATCTAATTCATACAGGGAGAAAATAGCACACTCAGACTCTACAGGCTGTGCTTATATCAACAGAGGCTGTCTCTGGTGGAGGTGAAATGCTACTCAGTCTTTATTTTTGTCTTCAAGAGGGATGGCTGTAGCCAAGCAGTGGGTGTTTCCCTGAGGGAAATCAAAACTTCTGCATCAGCCAGTGTACTGTTCTGAGTGTATTAACTGGAAGACTTTGCACAGGCAGATGTGACCGCAACTCAGTTTGTTTTAGGGGTACCCTCGATGATTCACGTTTACTCTGAAATTTGGACAACATCCTGACCGTTTTCTTACCTAGAGTGAGTCTAGCAAGTAGGACAGCAAAGTCTGGTGTCATGGTGTTCTTCACTAGAAGCACCAAGGAAATGATCCAAAGGGTTCTCTGAGTTTAGTGTCAGGAGATTGAACATCGAATAGACTTCCCGCTGTCCTTCCTTTATACACTCACTCCAGAGCAGAAGCCCCAAGAATTGTTGGAGTAACCAGGCTTTATATGTGTTTTGCAAGAACAATTACTGGAGAGAGTCTTTGCAATCAAAAATGTTCTCACTTTAAAGTAAAAGTAGATTTTTTTTAATAGTAAAAGTAGTCACAAATAAATTGCTCACATTTTAAAAAAATTTTATCTTCCAAAATCACTTGAAGTTTGCAAATATGACAAGGTATTATACCTAAGTAACTTTATTTCTTAGAAAGTCTCACATTTATAAACCACCCCCCCTTCACTCCCTCTAACATGCTTATAACAAATTTAACCAGTATAAGTTTTGTATGAACTCACTCAGTACAAGTGAGTATAACTGTTTGCTGAATAGTTCACTTGAAGATCCTACCTCAAAGTTAACCACATCTTACTCTAAAACTGCCTCTTCATCTTGACATCTTTTATCTTTCTTTTTTTCTTTTTTGGAACTTAAAATCACTGTCGTCTTTTTCTCCCCTCCTCTATCTCTAATCAGCCTCCAGCTCATTCATTCATTCAGTAAATATTGAGTACTGCCTCTGCTGGAATATTAAAAGTAACTGCAAGGTGTCTACCTTAATGGAATTTACAAGCCCTTTTGAGAACTTACTTCATGTGTTTGAAATCTACCTTATTATTTCGCATCACAAGGATCACAGGAACTTCCGCATGGGTCTCATTGTACTTCGTCTTGCATGCCTCTACGGTTAATCTTTCCAAAATATTTCTTATAAATCTTCACTGGCTTTTAATACTTTAATAATGAAAATATATTACTTTTGTATAATCTGACCATTGGCAAAACTCTTTCATAGGCACTCACAGTGCTGTCATACTGTGATTAGGTAATATTATTCCCACTTCTAGACAGGAAGACGACTAGTAAGTGGCAGAACCAAGACTCAAACTCAAGCCTTTTTGAGAGCCCTGAGTTCTTTCTACCAACATCAAACCTTTGCAGCTGAACCTCAAAGACCCTGGAAAGTCTGGCCCTGGCCTGTCTCGCTATAGTGACTTTTTTTTACTGTTACTACACACACCTTCCACTGTGACCAAACTTAGACACTTGTTAATTTTTGACTATGGGTTTTCCTACTTCTTTATCTTGTTGGCATATTTTTTGCAAAAGCAATTTTTTTAACACTATGCAGCAGTTATTACGGGAAGAGTCTACAATCAAAACTACTACGAACTCAAAGTCAAAAAAGATTTTTTTTTAATAGTAAAAGTGGTTATACAAACAAAAATAAATTGCGCACATTTTTTATACTTTTTCCTTAACTCCTTATGTTTTGGGCCAGTTTTCATTTAGTTATACCATACCTTTTTCAAGTTTTAAGCCTACTTTTCTAACTTGGATTTTTTTCTCTAACTTGATTTTTTTCCTCTTAATACCTAAGTCGTTGCTTCTCTTCATTCTTCTCCCCATCCTTCCCTATTCTTCTTACATCCCTCTCTACCCACTCCTCCCCTTCTCCCCCTTCCCTTCTCCCCTCCCTCCCCAGTTTATATGTGGAACTTACATATAATTTCTTATTTTTGTGATTTATCTAGGTGTTTCATCTCCAACTAGACTAAATGATTATAGAGGACAGGATTCTGATTGTGACATTTTTTTATATTTTACAATTTTATACATAAAGTTATTTTTTATATAGTTATGTATGCGTGACTTTATAATTACATAGGCTAATAAGATAATTGAAGATGGGTTAACAGGTAACATGCTTTCCTTTCTTACAGAGTTAAAAATTCTCCACTTAAGCAGTCTCCAGGTTATCAGACAGAATTAGTTATTCAGTTGGTATGGGTGAGTGGAGAACCACCGCAACAAATAACCAGTCTGGCAGTTAATTCTTCCTATGGATTGTGAGTATAATTTCTGTGTTTCTCCGTCTCTTCATCGTATTCCATGCATTTTTATATTTTTAAAAACGGAATGATCTTTATTATAGTATCACTTAAAAAGATGTTGTATAACTTTAATTTCAGACCAAACTCAGTGTTTATTTGGAACATAGTTCTGTTTTGAATAATTTACTCTGGATATGCTTATACTGCTTCCTGATTTAAAGTTAAATATCTTATGGACCAGTGAATCTATCCTCTCCTGGAAGTACTCTGAGAAATAATTTCCTTGTTAATGTTTGGTATAATGAAGGTCTAACAACATCAACCCAGAAGACTATGTTCTAAATTGATTCTATAAATGTTGAAGCATAGCTGTATAATTTGTTCTTTCTCCTTCCATAGTTAACTTGTGTAAATTGTAAAGGCATAGTAATAGTTAAGTAAAGTATTCATCTATACTACAGGTGTATTTTTATTTATCAATTCATGCCTTCAAGTATATAGTGTTAGTAGTACATACTTTCCATTATAATAGGATAGATTGATTTATTTTTTAATAAATAAATTTATTTATTTATTTATTTTTGGCTGTGTTGGGTCTTTTTTTTTTTTTAACATCTTTATTGGAGTATAACTGCTTTACAATGGTGTGTAATTTCTGCTGTATAACAAAGTGAATCAGCTAAACATATACATATATCCCCATTTCTCTTCCCTCTCACATCCCCCTCCCACCCTCCCTATCCCACCCCTCTAGGTGGTCACAAAGCACCGAGCTGATCTCCCTGTGCTATGCGGCTGCTTCCCACTAGCTATCTCTTTTACATTTGGTAGTGTATATATATCTATGTCACCCTCTCACTTCGTCCCAGCTTACGCTTCCCCCTCCCCGTGTCCTCAAGTCCATTCTCTACGTCTGCGTCTTTATTCCTGTCCTGCCCCTAGGTTCTTCAGAACCATTCTTTTTCTTTTTTTTTTTAGATTCCATATATACGTGTTAGCATACAGTATTTGTTTTTCTCTTGTTGACTTACTTCACTCTGTATGACAGTCTCTAGGTCCATCCACCTCACACCAAATAACTCAATTTCGTTTCTTTTTATGGCTGAGTAATATTCCATTGTATATATGTGACACATCTTCTTTATCCATTCATCTGTCAATGGACACTTAGGTTGCTCCCATGTCCTGGCTGTTGTAAATAGTAAAAATCAACATTGTGCTATAAGAGAAACCACATGCTAACTGTTCAGTCTAGAGCTATTTATTATGTGTAGGTCACTGTCTCCTTCCCTTGATTCTAGCCCTAGGGACTCATTCATCTTTCTTCTTCCTCCTTATAGCTACCACCACCTACTCTATCTCTTGCAGTTGTGCACCCAGCTAAGACTGGCTGTAGTCTGAGATAGTATTCTCTAATGTCTTTTATTTGGGCCCCACCATGTAAGAACACAAACGTTCCCCTTTTTAATATTTTACTGCCCATAGCCATAAGAGAAACAGGGAATAAGAAAAGGAACCAATAGGATGTTTCAAAGGAAATTGCAAATCAGTTGATCACAGTCCCCATTGGGCTCACAGATGTATTTTGTTTAGCCTTTTTTGTGTATTTTTTAAATTTGAACTCGTTGCCAAGACTATTTAATGTGAAAATCCATATTTAGAGCTTTAATTGAAAACTTTGATTATCTGGCCCATGTCTCCATTTCTGTTCGGCAGTAGTCAGGAGGAACTGGGTTGAAGCTTCCCCTCTTTAGGTGGGCTGTCCACTCTCCAGTTCACTACGGTCCTTAGTTGGCCCGTTTACTTACTTATATAGCCCCTCTATATATTTTAGCTTTCGATTCCTGGCTTAAGGGATCTTAAAAGAATAAAATTCAACAAAATAGTTGCTTTGTTCATAGTTGGTTTGTACTTCCCGACTCATAATTGAGAAGGTATTTGGAATAGTCCAAAGGGAGGCCCCCAAGATTTATGCTTTCTACTTGTTATTCTTGACTATAGGGATTACCAAAACTTTTCCAAAGGTATAATCCCCTACTTCCCTAGTGCAAGGGAATGTCTTCCCCTGAGGCATTCAAAATACCCCTAAGTCCGAAAACTAGACGTCATATTGCCTAGTGTGGAGATTTATGTCCCTGGTTGAGTTCCAACTCCTATGCCAAATTTATTCTATATTAATTTGTAATCATTAATATCTACAGAAAATCTGCACAGTTCCATCAGAAGGCGTATGTAACCTGTATTTGCATGGCTGTAATAGTGTTTTGTTTCAAAAGGAATTTTCTTAAAGACCCATCATGATTTTTTAGCCCTGTAGACTGCAATATGTTTTCTTGTAGCTGTTTATCTGTGCTAAAATATTTGCTCTTTCCCTATTCCTAGGGTAGTTTTTGGCAATTGTAGTGGCATTGCAATGGTCGACTACCTCCAGAAAGCAGTACTCCTCAACCTGGGCACTATTGAATTATGCGGCTCCAGTGATCCTTATCGGAGAGAACCCCGATCTCCTCGTAAATCTCGACAGCCTTCAGGAGGTAAGAAGAAAAAAGTCCTGAGCTTTAGGATTTCCATAAATGCTGAGTTACTTCTGTGAATATAAGTACTTCCATTGGGTAGATAGCTTGTCTGATTTCATCTGTTTGTATAAAATGTATCAGCCTGCCTTTTTGTTTTGTGTTGTTACTAGCTTATGCTTTTGTTTTTAATATTCTAGGATTTTATTTAACATTGGGAAAGAACCACAGTTTCAGACTTCTTTAGCTAAATTATAATGACAGGAAAATTCATCCCATTATTACAGAACAAAAGTTAATTTCACAGTTCTGTCCCTTTTATTGCGAGACGAACAGTTTATTGTTTTGACTATTTAATTCAAAGGAATCATTTCCCATGTGAAAAAAAAATGTAGATGCAAAAGTGAATTTGAACTCTATGAAATACAGCGTTCTCTGATAGCTTTGATTCAGTGCAAGCCCAGATCCATTAAGAATTCTCTCCGTAGCATTCTTTTGTGTTTGCTAGGTAATTAGTCTTATTTTAAATGTTTTAATACTAATTCCTCATGGAACACATGTATAGTTAGCTGTTTATAATAGTACTCCTCACCTTTTTTTTTTCCAAACCTCATGGCACACACAGAAAATGGCATTGGATCTCTGGCATATAGGGATATATTAATGAGGCCTCTAGTAGTAACTGGCCTCTGGGCTCCAGACTCCCCAGGACCTGCCCAGCTGGACCAGGGATTGAGGGGAACTGCATCTGGGGCAGACTTAACCTAACCCATTTGCAGAATGCCATCGGGAAGCTCTGATCTATACTTCCTAACTCAATCTCTCTAAATTAAAATTCTTTCTGAGATTCATTTCTCAGTTGCTTTCAGGACATTATTAGCTGATACTAAATACTTCTCATAATTCATGAGAGAAGAAAAGAAAAAGGTGATGGGATGTAGACCTTACTATCATTTTGGTGATAGTTGAATATTTTTTTCTGTTTTTGTTTGTGTGATCATTTTGTCATGTGTTATCTTCAGCAGAAATCGTCGTCCCAACCATACCATTCTAGTATCTTTGTCTCCTTTTTTTTTCCTTCTGCTTTTCATTGCTTCACTAAGGTATGCTGATTGTGACTTCTTGCATGTGCGGCGTTTCTAGCTTATATTCTGAATCTGTGAAAAAACTCCGTTCTTCTTTTTTAAGTAAGTTATTTATTACATGTCGGTAAAGTCATGACAGTGTATTTTGTCTGTAAAATTATTTTTTCTCAGTTATTTTTAGAAGAGCCTATTAAAGCATCCTATATCTAAAATAATATACTCACTATTTAAATTCATCTCATAATATGTATATGAAAACAGCTGTTGAAATGTTTGTGTCACAATCCAGTTTCTTTATAAAGCGAAGGAACTAACATTTAGTGTCAGAAAGTTAAACATTGTCTTGATAGAGGAGTAGTAAAAGTTTTATTACTCCTGAAATTAATTAATTTCTTTTCTTGTTGGTACCTCATCATAGTTTACATAAAATTACTGGAAATTAAATACCTAAATTCATCCAAGGATAGAGATCAGTTCTACCGTGTGATTTTAAATTTTTTTTCTTGAATTCCATTGCATGCTACTTTATTCTGTAGTAAAGCTTACAATATTATTCATTTTATTATTTGCTTCATCTTGTATTGAAGAGTTACATGTTTAGGCACAAGAGAACTACTTGAGTTTTCATCATCGGTTTAAGATATTTACTTATGGTTGTTATGCTCACTTGAACAATATTTAGGATTATGTTTTAAATAAAAATTAAAAGAACGTTATTTTAAAACACACTTTAACATTTTAAGAATATTTGTGCCTTCTAAAATATTTATATTTCAAATAAAATCAAATGTAGAATAATTGGTACTAAAATTCTTTAATTGCATTGATACGAAAATGATATTTTTGCTAAAGTGTATATTTTATAATACGTTCTTGAAGTGTAGCCCAAGTACCATGAAATTGTCCTTCTATCTTTTGTAATAGATCAGTATGGATGGAGAGATTTGTTTTTTTTCTACTAATAGGTGCTAATATATTTTCATAAAGAATAAGATGGCACTCAAATTATTTTATAAGATAAAATGTTACTGTTTAAGTTTATATATTTTATAGCTGTATAAAATATCTACAGTATTTTCATAATAAAAATTATGAAACTGTCACAGGGACAGGTAGTGATAAAGTATTTCAACTACGTATATATATATATGCTGATAGTCTTAATTCTGTTAAGAGTGAAACGTGATAATATACGTCTTGGTTTGTTGGCCACTTTTTCACTCAGTGAAGGACACAAAAAGGAAATTTCTATTCTGAATATAATATCTAATGATGTGAAAGTAATAGACACATGAGAAAAAGTGCTTACTTAGGCTTGGAAATAGATAAATATAGAATTTAATACAGAAGGAAATTAGATGCACAAAGCTGTATCTAGACTTTAGGAAAGATATTTTCAAAAGTTATAAAGAGGAGGCTCTAAAAATGAAGTTTTGGGCTCTACAATTGCAGTTACTGTCAAGTCGTCAATATTTTCGATAAGACAGTAAAAGAGAAATAGCCCAGTAGTACTAGTTGAAATTTCTGTCTTTGTGTTTCTTATAAGAAATGAAAGAGACTATATAAGAAATAAGGGATACAGTCAAGGATGGATAAAAATGTTGCATAGACCAGTAAGTACTGTGTTGAATTAAGGCTGAATTCCCCAAAATGAGAAATACAGCAAAATGTTTGGTTCCAGTGAAAATATAGTTAAGGAAGGATTAGGATACCACTTTAAGGATGATTTGCAATGATAGTTGAAAAATAGAGTATAGAACGAAATCACTTTGTTTCTCAACTCTCCATTAAGAATGATTTTTCTCTCTGGAAATTATTAAAAATAATAAAGAGAAATTAAAGTTTAAGCCACATTTTGCAAATAAGGCAAACCAAGCAATAATGAAAAGATATCAAGAGAATTTGTAAAGAAAATTTGTAAATGGTACCCCCAATTGATGAAGGTCAAATATTTTACAAATCAGTAAATTTGATTTACAAGTCAGTCAGAGTTCTAGAATGATTTGCTAAGTAGTTGATGCCTTACATGCATATTGAAAATAGAGATAATAATAGAAGTCAGCAGGAATTCACTGAAAGTAAGTTGTTCCAAAATCAGCATTACTTTTTTAATCTGGTAGCTACATTGATAGTTCATGGCAGCCTGTTGACATAATATTTCCTGAAGTTAATTGGGTATTTGATAAAGAATTCCATGATACTTTTGTGAACCAGACAGGTGGAAGTGACCTAAATACCTAGTTCAATTTGATGGTTGCAAGATTAAATCAGGAGTCAGCAAACTACAGTCTGCGGGCCAAATCTGGCCCATGGCCCACTGCCTGTTTTTGAAGTACAGTTTTATTAGAGCAGCACCATGCTAATTCGCTTAGGTGTTATCTATAGCTGCTTTTGTGCTTCAACGTTAGAGCTGAGTAGTTGTGACAAATTGGCCCCAAAACCCAATCTGGACCTTCACAGAAAACATTTGCCAACTCCTGGATTAAAGCATGGTACCTAGTGGGTCGGTTTGTGGCCTGATACTAATTTGATGTAGTGTGCCTCAGTTAGTGGATACGTAATACTGAATAACATATGATTATGCTTTGTTGAACATTTTAAGTAGTTAATTAAACTTCCTGTTTAAACAATTGAAAGAGAAGGTGTGCTTATTTTTGCTGTTTAAAGGATAACTAATACATTTGATGGCAGAATAAAAACCCCAAAGGTAATTATAGGTAGAAATCATAAGCTTAAACCAGGGAAATGAAGTTTATCAGCAATAAATGTTAAGTCCTGTGTTTAGATTATAAAGATACTTACATGTATACAGAACAAAAAACTGGCTCAGGCAGTTCATGTGAACATGCTTGGAGGTTTCGTTGTTAGTTTAGGCAGATTTGTGTTAAATCTCAGCACTCTTTTTATGTGTGTTATATTAGAGAAGATGCTACTCTGAGGCTCAGAGTCCTCAAAATGGGGGTGATCACCTCATAAAGTTAGTGTAGTTATTAAGTGAAAGGGCATATGTAATGTGCCTCATCTTGTGACTGGAATATTGTTGGCGTTCAAGTGGTTGTTCTGTTACCACAACTTAAGGTATGCCAATAATATGACATAACTGCTGAATGTACTAGTGTGAGAGATACAGAAGATTTTAAGTTATCCATTTATATTGTATTTCTTCCTCTTTTTAAAGCAGGCTATAGAGAAAACAATTTGGGGCCCAAATGTACTCAAGAACTTCTGGCCAGTAAAATACCTATTACAATGACAATGAAATTGACTGTCTCTAGACTTAATTAGGTGTTTGTCACTGAATAAGATACCTGAAACATTCAGTGCCTCAGTTTCTTCTTCTGTAAAATGAGGATAATGCTGTCTACCTCATTCGCTTCAGTGAGAGTTAAATGTGTCAAGAACTTTGTAATTGTCGTTTATTACCAGCTAGCTAATTGGGTTGGGATACATTTGGGCAAAACCTAGATAACTGTATTGCTAGGAATATTGCTTGAAGGGATTCTGGCAGCAACAGAGAAAATGGATTAGATTATATGCTATGAAATCCTTTCATATATATTCATTCAGTTATTCAACAAATATTTATTGAGCACCTACTATGTGCTATGCACTGTTACAGGTAATAAAACAGACAAAAATCTCTGTCCTCATAGAACTCACATTATACTGGAAAAGACAGAAGTTTTAAAAGATAGCTAATGTACAGTAAGTTGCATAATGGTGCCAAAGGGAAAAATAATTAAATGAAGGGCATTTGAAATATCAGTGACAAGGGTGTTACATTCTAAATAAAATATCTTGAACAAAGATTTAAAGGAGACAGCTGTTTTCCGTGACGATGTCTGTAGAGAGAACATTTCAAGCAGAGAAGAGCAAGTACAGTGGCTCAGAAGCAGTGTAACTGGTGAGTTCAAGGTTACAGTGAACGGTAAGTGTGGCTGAAGTAGGGAGAGTAAGGGAGATGGGGAAGTACGTGGAAGGAGAGGAAATAAAGTCAGAGAGGATACACCATAGCCACATAATATATACCACAGTCATATACCATAGGATCATATACATCAACCAGTCACGTGGAGCTGGACTTCGGCTTTTACCCTAAGTCAGACAGAAGGCACGGAAGGGTTTTTAGCTCACTCAGTAATTTAATATCTAAATTAAATTATCACTATCACACTCTTTAATTTAGCTTCTTAAATGTTTCTTCCTAGGCTATTTTAAGAATGGGAATTATATCTCATACTACATTTTTATAGAGTTTAATAGCAGTTGACAAAATACCAAAGGCTTTAAATTTCAAAATTTACTTAGTACCAGGCTCATTGTAATACTGGACTATATAATCACTACTATTTATTTATTTACTTAATTGAGGTATGATTGACATGTAATGTTATATTAGTCTCAGGTATACAATATGATGATTTGATATTTGTATACAGTGCAGAATGATTGCCACGGTAAGTCTAGTTAACAACCGTCACCTTACGTAGTTTAAAAAAATTTTTTTCTTGTGATAAGAACTTTTAAGATCTACTCTCCTAGCAACTTTGAAATATGCAATACAGTGTTATTAACTGTGGTCATCATGGTATTCATTACATCTGCATAGCTTATTTATTTTATAACTGGATGTTTCTACCTTTTGACCCCCTTCACCCATTTCTCCTCCCATCCCCTGCCACCTCTGGCAACCATCCATCTTTTTAGATTCCACATATAAGTGAAATTATATGGTATTTGTCTTTCTCTGCCTGACTTACTTCATTGAGCATAATGCCCTCAAGGTCCATCCACATTGTCACAAATGACAAAATTTCATTCATTTTTATGACTGAATAATATTCCATTGTATATGTATAACTCATTTTTTCATCCGTGCATCCACCAGTGGACACTTAGATTGTTTCTATATATCACTACTGTTTAAACACCTGCTATCTTAGTGTTTTATCAAGAAAAAGTTTATTTATATATACAGATATTTTGTCAGAGATTAATAAATGCATACCTGTAATTACATATGTCATCTTAGAACTGTAAAGACTAGTTTTATTATTTTTTTTCCAAAATCTTTAGTGTGATGAAAGTTGAAAAAAAAAGAAAAAAACTACTTGTTGTCATTCAAAAGCTTCCTATCCAATGAAGACAAATAATATATAGTTCAAAATAGAAAACACTCCTCATAAACCCAGTTCAGTACTCAGTGTTCTCTAAATGTTACTGTAAGAGCTTTCTTAGGGACTGTAGAGGTTGTGACGTCATGAATTTTACCAGAGGAATAGAAAAGCAGATACTGGTCATATGTGCACATATGTCGATATCAGACCCGACAACTTCTGAGGCCTAGTCATGCAGCCTCTTGTCTGTTGCCCAGCTATCCCAAGCTCCTGGTGTGTGTTTATTTGTAATTTTTAAATACTTTGGAAGAATTCTTTTCATTTCTATCTCCAAGCAAATTAATTTCCATATTGTTTACTTGGCATTTTGCCATGTCTTATAGTTTTTATCTATAGCGTAAAATACCTTGCTAGGATTTCTCCTAAGAATTGAGGCCATCCTACAAGATAGATTAGTTTTATATGATTCATATATATCTGAGAAAAGAAAGTATTTCTTTAAAGCTCTTTTAAAAATGTGATAGTATAGTTTTTAAGAGTTATAGCCCTAGAAGAAAAGTAATGTGCAGTACAGGCATACATCTGAGATATTGCAGGTTCAGTTCCAGACCACCACATTAAAGCAAATGTGGCAATAGAGCGAGTCACATGTATTTTTTGGTTTTCCAGCGCATATAAAAGTTATGTTTACACTATACTGTAGTCTGTTAAGTGTGCAGTAGCATTATGTCTAAAAAAACACAATGTACAGACCTTGATTTTAAAATACTTCATTGCTAAAAAATCTAACAAACCATTATCTGAGCTTTTAGCAGGTCATAACCTTTCTGCTGGTGGAGGGTCTTGCCTCAGTGTCAAAGGCTGCTGATTGGTCAGGGCAGTGGCTGCCGAAGGCTGGGGTGGGTATGGTAACTTCTTAAAATAAGACAACAGTGACGTGTGCTGCATCGATTGGCTCTTCCTGTCACGATTTTACTCACAATCGAACCCTCTCAAACCCTGCCGCTACTTTATCAACTAACTTTAGGTAATATTCTAAATCCTTTGTTCTCATTTCAACAATCTTCCCAGCATCTTCACCAGGGGTAGATTTCATCTCAAGAAACCAGTTTCTTTGTTCATCCATAAGAAGCAGCTCCTCGTCTGTTAAAGTTTTATCATGAGATTGTAGCAATTCGGTCCCATCTTCGGACTCCCTTTCTAATTCTAGTTCTCGTGCTGTTTCCACCACATCTGCAGTTACCTCCACTAAAGTCTTGAACTTCTCAAAGTCAGACATGAGGGTTGGAATCAGCTTCTTCCAAATTCCTGTTAATGTTGGTATTTCAACCTCTTCCCATGAAATCACAAATGTTCTTAATGGTATCTAGAATGGTGAATCCTTTCCATATGGTTTTCAATTGACTTTGCTCAGATCCATCAGAGGAATCGCTATCTATGGCAGCTATAGCCTTACAACATGACAGAAATATATGTAAAATGTATATATATATATATAGTATATATTTTTTAAATATATAATATTATTTAAGAAATATAATAAAATGTGAAAGTTGAAATTACTCCTTGATCCATGAGCTGCAGAACGGATGTTGTGTTGGCAGCCATGAAAGCAACATTAATCTCATAGTACATTTCCATCAGAGCTTTTGGGTAACCAGGTACATTGTCAATAAGCAGTAATATTTTGAAAGGAATCTTTTTTTCTGAACAGTAGCTCTCAACAGTGGGCTTAAAAGATTTCATAAGCCATGTTATAAACAGAAGTATTGTCATTCAGGCTTTGTTGTTCCATGTATAGAGCATAGGCAGAGTAGATTTAACATAATTCTTAAGGTTCCTAGGATTCTTCAGAATGGTAAATGAGCATTGGCTTCAATTTCAAGTCACCAGCTGCATAACCCCTAACAAGAGAGTCATCCTGTCCTTTGAAGCTTTGAAGCCAGGCATTAACTTCTCCTCTCTAGCTATGCACGTCCTAGATGGCATCTTCCAACAGAAGGCTGTTTCAGTTACATTGAAAATCTATTGTCTGGTATAGCCACCCTCATTAATTATCTTACTGGATCTTCTGGATAACTTGCTGCAGCTTCTACATCAGCCCTTGCTGCTTCACTCTGCCCTTTTATGTTATGGAGAGGGCTTCTTTCCTTAAACGTCATGAACCAACCTCTGCCAGCTTCAAACTTTTCTGCAGCTTCCCCACCTCTCTCAGTCTTCATAGAAATGAAGAGAGTTAGGGCCTTCCTCTGGATTAGGTTTTGGATTAAGGGAATGTGGTGGCTGATTTGATCTTCTATCCAAACCACTGAAACTTTCTCCATATCAACATTAAGGCTGTTTCACTTTATCATGCATGTGTTCACTGGCGTAGCACGTCTAACTTCCTTCAAGAACTTTTCCTTTGCAGTCACAACTTGGCTAACTATTTGGCTCAAGAGGCCTAGCTTTGAGCCTGTCTGGGCTTTTGACATGCCTTCCTCACCAAGCTTAATTATTTCTCATTTTGGATTTAAAGAGAAAGGGGAGCGACTGACTGACTCTTCCTTTTACTTGAACACTTAGAGGTCACTGTAGGGTTATCAACTGATCTACTTTCAATATTATGTCTTAGGGAATAGGGAGGCCTTAGGAGAGGGAGAGGAATGGGGGAAGGGCGGGTCAGTGGAGCAGTCAGAACACACACATTTATCAACTGAGTTTGCTATCTTACATGAGCGTGGTTCATGGTGCCCCAAAACAATTAAAATAGTAACATCAAAGATCACCGATCACAGATCACCGTAACAAATGTAATATTTCAGACTTTTTTATTATTATTATGAGAATTACTGAGATGTGACATAGAGACGCGAAGTGAGTAAATGCTGTTGAAAACAATGGTGCTGTAGGCTTTCTCAGTGCAGGGTTGCCACAGCCTTCAATTTGTAAAAAAATGCAATACAAGCAAAGTGAAAAGTGCAGTAAAACAAGGTATGCTTGTATTTTAAATATTGCAAACTTGGAAGCACACAATATTTTCTTAATTATTATTCAGTGATATTTAAGGGAGGTACTTGAGATATACTTAGGGGAAACCACTTTGGGGTTTGAGTTGAGAGTCCTTATGATGTAAAAGTCACCAAATTTATTACCAAGTATTTATTCTCCTTCAAGTGAAATCCAATAAGAAGTATGTAAGTCATATGCCCTCAAATTGCCGACTTTAAACAAAATCCTGTGTTATATCTAACGTCCCTGAAAAATAGCAAATTATCTCTTTTGGAAATTGTTTCTTATTTGTTTAACTGATGACTGCTGTGTTAGTTTGAGGTGTTTTAATATCAGAATACTCCTATATTCTGATCTCAAAACTAATGAGCATAGTATCAATGCCAGCGTAGTCTGCTAACCTGCTGGGTTTTTTTTTTTTAATGGGCTGTCATTAAATACATACTGTAAATAGGAGGTAAAACTGCACTTACATAAACTTGTGGTGTGATTTGGTTTTGGTTTTGTTTTTTAGCAGGTCTGTGCGATATTAGTGAAGGGACTGTAGCTCCAGAAGATCGCTGCAAATCTCCAACTTCTGGTAATTTGCTTTTTATTTTATTAATAATTCTACAAAAAATACAGCTTGTCAAATTTGTACAGATAAGCGTTTAAAACACACCTACAGGGAACTTCTGTGTCACATATTTATTCTTAAAATCATAACTATTCTTTGCATTCTCATTAAGTGAAAAGAAATGCATTAGATAAAAATCTACAGCTACTACCTGTTAAGAGTCGTGTAACTGTTTACTTAGCTTCTAATATTTACACTTTTTTGGGAAAATGTATTTTACTTCTTACCATTGGATCGAAGGTTTCGTCATCTACAGTTTTTGTCTTTGCTGTCAGCATGCCTGGAGTCATCTGGTAGAATAGTGCTCTAATCCATGAATAATGTTCACCTAAATGTTATGAAAGATTTTTAACACTTATCTAATGGTGACCGTGGACAGTTAGAATAATTGTAGACTAGTTACATTTGATTTTGATCAAAGTAATATGAGATATAATTTTATAGCTGTATTAAAGCATTTGTCCTTTCTTATCCATATATTAGTCTTATGTAACCTATGTATGTATTAATATTTCAGAGTAACATTACTTTTTGAGTCCCCGTACAATTAAGAGGATCCTGAATTCACTATGTTTTTTAGTGGATTGAAACTTTGCTAAAATTTAATAAGGTTAACTTCATAATTTTAACTGACAGATTTATTAAATCATTCTGGCTGGGAATTTTCATCAGCTTTCTACTGGAAAGATTGTTCTTAACAGAAAGTAACACTGTTCTTAGATTTTGATCCTTGCGTAGGTAGTTCTACATCAGAAATAATTTTAAGAATGGGGAAAATTGAGAGGTGCATTTTACTTTACTCCCTCATATTTCAGTTTACCATTCTGTTAGATCTAGGACCAATAGAACTTTTGTGAGGTTTTCTTTTTAAAATTGCATTTTCCTGATATCGCTCAAGTTAATCATTTCTTTTCTTAAAATATATGCACCTTCTGGTTTTCTTAATATTCAAATTTCATATTTAAGTACACTCATTACACCAATAAAACATGGAATACAGGAATCACTCATATCATTAGCACCTAATATTAAGCCTGAACGTTGGTAGAATAACATTGAACAAGTAATATGGAGCAATACGTACTTCCCATCTCACAGGACTAGAGTTATTTCTGAATATGATTTAGAATTATAATATCTCTTAATTATTACTGTTCTTCCTCCAACCATATACAGTACTGTTCTGATGTTCTCACCTTCCCTAAAGGCCATATGAATGCACTTGTCAATATGTTAAGACTATAGGCCACATTTGATAACTTGGACATGTGATATATTGTCTTTCAATATATTAAATGACTATCAAATGTGTTTTAACAAGATTCAGCCCAAATAAATTAATACTCCTTTTCACCCTAAGTCAGACTTTCAATAGGTGTATATTTCTAGCAATTTGGGATAACCCAACGAGAGGTAATTGTAGATAAATATGTAAGTACACTTCAGTATAATTATTCAATAGATAAATATAGAAGATGCATACTGGTAAAAACCCTCCAGATTCTCTCTTGTACCAGAGAAACTCAGACATCATTCAACATTTTCAAATATACTGTGCTCTTTGGTTCACATGAAAAGAAAATATAGTTTTAACGTGCAGAAATATGTATGACACCAGGCATCCTTTTAGGTGAATTTTAAATACAAAGGAAAAATTGTGACCTCAGAAATCATTGATAAATCACAAATTCTCATCTTTAGATATAACCTCTTAGTTTATTTAGTTTAGTCTTTGATTATGCTCTGAAAGAGCGAAGAGTTATCTGAAGAGTTATATTCATTCATGCATGTCAGAAAAGACTGCTTTTACAAAAAACAGACCACACTTTGGTAGACAACAGTTGTACCTAAAACATGTTTCATATACCGGGAGATGGATGTCAGTCATACATAAGTACTAAGAACTACCATAGAAACTAAAATAAAGCTCTGGAAATAGTTGCTAGAAAACAATGTTTGTGTTTATGAGAGAAGAAATGTATAAAAAGTGGGTTGGGAGTTCAACTGAATTCCTAATACATACTAAGAAGAGGACCTCTATTATAAAAATGAAAAGTAACCATATGCCCTTTATCAAAACCAATATGTTCATTTGAAATAATACGTATAATTGAAGAGAAACTTTTCTGAAAAGCTTTTAAAGCCCGTAATCAAGATTTGTGATCTGAACAGTTTAGCCAACTGATATCAAAGCTCTATTCAAAAATCATCCTGAGAAAATCCAAGTTATGAATATAGTTTTCCCTTTCCATTTATCTTTAAATAAACCAACAATCTCTCTGAAATAGAAAATTAATTCTGCCATCCTGAATTAACATAGAAAATTATTTCTGCCATCTTCATTTGATCTTTATTTCCAAGAACTCAGATTGCTTCACTGAGCACTTCTCTAATGTTGGGATATATTTTAGTGCTGCTTCCAAAATTTATGTGTGTGTGTATGTATGTATGTATGTGTGTATATGGATATATACATTTCAAATTGAAGAAAACCCAAGGCCACATACCATGAGATGGTGCCCTCAGGAGTTTCTGTGTACCCTAGAAAAAAACAAAAGCTGTGTGTATTTTCGTGTGTTTATTTAATCTAAATTTTAAAATATATTCAAGTAGGAAATGCTAAAAACATTTTTGGAACTTCTTCATGAGCTGTCACAGAAGTTATTACAACTGGTAGTAGGCATTTTCAGTTCAGGGAAAAATATATCTGCTTCTTTTATTCAAATTTACAGCTTATGTTGCCTATTTTTATGTTAGAAATACTGGGCATTTTTATAATTTTATATTCGTGTTCAGATATGCTATCTTGCTATTAGTCTGATATGAAATATATCAAATAAAACAAGTGTTAATAAATATTTGTACATCCATGTGGTTATGTAGTATCAGAGATGAATAATATTTTAAAGTATATGTAACATCTTCTCATAACCATTATCTTCTTTAAATCTGAATTACATTATGGGAAAAAGGAGTGTACCCTATTTCTATTCCTGAAAATGTTGCTGAGGTCAGTGTTACTTATGTCATATTTTTTGATATAGGATTTATGAGGATCTATAAATGCTATTTAGCAAAAATAACATAGTTTTAAAAGAGCAATTTTTATAAGACTGTTTTAGAAGTAATCGGATCCTGCCAATATTGACAGGCTTTACTTGGTCTGAGAAGAGACTTCAAGGATGTTTTCCACCTGGCCACAGAAAGAAAGTACGATTTTGTGGGGGAAGGTCAAATTTTGACCTTATTTGTGAAGGCTCAGTAGTTTCACTGTGATAAAAAAAGGAATCAGCATAGAAAAACCATTTTATTTACTTCCAGTTATGTTCTAGATAGTCACTTCTAGCAGAAAAGCTATATTCGTTCAGCAAATGTTTACTTAGAGATTCCTACATGAAGGGCACTCCACTGAGTCCAAAAGAGATGCAAATATCAATCACATAGAGTCCCAGCTTCTCAGTTCAGTTCAGTGGGAAAGGTCAGGTGTATGTAAACTTAAAATATAAGGCGTTAAGTGATTAACATAAGAGAAGTAATAGGTGAACTTTTATAGGAATTCAAAGAAGGGGAGGTGATTTATAGCTGGAGAGATGGTGAAAATTTTAATGGGTAAGATATCATTTGAAATGTGTTACAAAGATACGTAGTTTGACTCTAATAATAAAGTCAACTAGAATACTACTTAGGATTCCCTTTATAATAAAAAGTTTGTGTTAGAAATTAAAGAAATACAATGAAAATTAGGAACATCTTTTTAAGGAAAAAGGACTAAAATCTTAATTATAAAAATATTAGATAAACGTATTGAAAGTCACAGTTAAAATATTTCTTACCTCATTAAATTTAAGTAAATATTTGAACATATCTAAAATTATAAGTATCATCCTCAGTATTTTAAAGACCTCTATGGTACTAGTAGAATTTATATATGATTTTAAAGTTTGTATCTAGAAAGCTAACTCTAAAATAAACTTTACCAGTATAGTACTTATACAGGACTCTAAGTGCTACTAGATAAACCTTATTCGGTTAACTAATATCAAGAATTTTTATGTTTTCTTTCAGAAACAGATAACTTCTTATATTTTTCTTTATCTGTTCTCTAACTTATAATATATACCAAGATTTTGCCAAATGGTTGTAACTTTTGGAAAAATTATTATACATTAGGGTTAATATTTATACATACTAGAGATTGGTCGACGAAAGATAATGCACTACTGATTGCTGTTCTTACTGTAATATTATAAGAATTATTATTAACTATATACATGATATTTTCTTCTGGCCAGTAGTATGGGAACTTGTTTTAAGGGTTACCAGATTACTTTGTTTGTACTTTTCCCTGTGACAACTCAGCGTTTGTGACTGACTATGTGCCTGTTCCTTCCATTGTCTTCATTTGTGTAGGTTCTTCATCACCACACAATTCAGATGATCAACAAAAAGTGAATAATTTTATAGAAAAGGGTATAGTATCTTTATTTTACAGTATTTTCTTTTAATTACATTTAATTCATGTAGTTTACTTTGAATAGATTTTGACATTTTGTATCAAAATATTATTTTCAGTGAAGATCAAAAGCAGAAAGTTTTCCAAGATGGTAGCCAGTGATATAGGTAGGAAATAGACATTTCTATTTTGTTTCTAATCCTTGCTATTTGCAATGCTAACTCAATACCAGAAAATTATCTAATGCATTGCATTTTGTATATATTAATTTGTTATTCCTATGCTAGACAATCATCTCCTGGGCTGTGTTTCTTCTAAACTCATTGGGGCAATAATTATTAAAAATCAGTTAAACTGGGGTTGCAGTTCTTCCTCTGACTTAACAGTGAGAATTGTTCTATTAATTTTTATTTTTGCTTTATTTTAAAATAAAGCAGGGTTCAATTTATGCCATATGTAGTACAGTTTTATACTCCAAAGTTTTGAAATTTTTTTCTTTATAGTTTTACTTGTATTTTTTCCTACCTGTCTTCTATCCTCACATTATCCAGACTCCAGATTTCAAGGAAGTGGTTCTTTAAAATATTGACTTGTAGTCCGTAATCTGTACTACCCTTGGGTTAAATGGGAATTTTCTACCACTCCTTCCCCCCAAGTAAAAATGAGTGCTACTTTGAAATTAATTACTCAGTCCAAGATTTTCAGAGTTTCAAACCGGGGGATAAAATATATAATTAAACTTTAGGGACATAATCAAACTAGGGTTTTTTAGTCATAAAAATTTGAATTTTGTCTGAGGATTTTGTGTGTGTGTGTGTGTGTGGTACGCGGGCCTCTCACTGCTGTGGCCTCTCCCGTTGCGGAGCACAGGCTCCGGATGCACAGGCTCAGCGGCCATGGCTCACGGGCGTAGCCGCTCTGCGGCATGTGGGATCCTCCTGGACCGGGGCACGAACCCGTGTCCCCTGCATCGGCAGGCGGACTCCCAACCACTGCGCCACCAGGGAAGCCCTGTCTGAAGATTTTTACAAGCCTGAGAAACACCATTTTACTAAAAGAGAATACGTTTAATCTTTGATGTAAATCCAAAAATTTATTACACTGTTAACATATTACTTATTTCCCCCGAAACTCCCACAATTCATTGAATTGTCTTAAATTAGATGAATTTCTAGGCAGCTGGAATAGATTTACATTTTTTCAACTGATAAAGTTTAATATGTGGTAAATTTCTAAAATTCTTAGAAGTAGCATCCATATTGTTTGCATGTTGTAAATTGAACCCTGTTTAGTCATATTAACATTGGCAGACTTTTAGCACCTCTGGTCATTTTCTGAATAACGCGGTTTATTCTTGGGCAAAGGACTCTTCATTTATGGAGTATCAATTATTTATCTGTTTGTATTTGTGGTACTTTAGTGAATCATTTGGTAACATTTAAATCACTTTCATTATCTACGAGCACTACTGCATACTTCTTTTTCAACCAATTTCCTTTTTAGTATATACTATCTTAATAGTACTTTAGAGGTTCTTTTACTGTCATGTAATGTAAAAAGTTAGAAGGGACTTTTCTACGTATAATTTATCAAAGAACTTGTAGAATTTAATTACCTAGGAATTTTACCTTGCATGAAAGTTACTTGGTACATAATTAAATTTTTCAAATAATTTATCTATTTGATTTTCGATCCTGGGGTTATGTTTGCTTTGTTAAATGTTTTGACTCACTTTCCTTTTTTTTCTGGGTAATGAATAGAATATGAAACATAGAATATCTGAGTGTGATTATTTGAAAGACTTTAATAAATTTCTTAGGACTGAGAACATTATTGGAAGGATAGTTCTTTGGTAACATAAAAAAGAAAGCAAGAATGTTACCAGCAAGTTTTTTTGTCATGCCACTTTCTGTAGTTATATTTTTGGGGAAACATTAACTTTATTCAACTTTTCAAACTTATGTTAGCTATACAGTTATAAATAATTATTTTTCATCTCCAGAAACCACTTTTATATCTCCTATTTTATATATAATTTTAAATGTTTTCAGTTGGAATCTTTCAGTATTTTTTTTGAAGTATAATTGACTTAACAATATTATAATAGGTTCAGGTGTACAACATAGTGATTAAGTATTTTTATACATTACCTACCATACAAAGTTATAGTATTTGTGACTGTATTCCCTGTGCTATACATTACATCCCTGTGACTGACTTACTTTATAACTGGTAGTTTTTTAATTCCAACATATATCCCAAGGTATATAGAAGGCAAGCTTACTTCTCAATTTTTTCTTCATTCAGATGGAGACTATGCCATTTTAGATTGTAAAGTTTTTTCAGTTTAAAAAAAAAACAGTTTATCTCCCTACATTAGTGTCTAGTTTCGTAATAAGACTTAGCATAAAATATGCTACTGAAAAACACATAAAATGTCAATGAAACATTGGGAAAAAATTCATAAAATCTCCTAAAGACCTCTCTCTTTTTCTATCAATACTTAAAGCTTAATAGTATCAAATGTGCTAGGACTCCTTGAGCGTTCTGACCTCACTACGTTCCCTATCATCCAATCCCATACTTGCTCTAAAGGATCCTGAACCTCATAAAATTATCACCTTGTTCTTCCTCAATCTACAGACATTTATTGCTTTAGCTTAGGCAGTTATGCTGTGACCTAATAAGGGAAAGCATAAGAATTAAGCCTCGAACCTCCAAGATCATCACTGGTGAAAGAACGACCTTATGTGGAAGGCTGACAGAATGTATTGGCTCTGAGGTTTTGTCCCTAAGTTTCACTTACACTTTGAAAGTAACTGCTGCTTGTGTCATATCAGAGAGGATGGGGCCAGGGGGTGTACAGGATGTCATTCTCACTTTAACAATCTGACCCGACCGTGGAAAATCAACTGTTTTTTGCTGCCTGACAGTACAGCTGAAATAGCTGAGACAGTAACAATTTTTTAAAAATATACTTAACAATTACAATTTTCCTAGCACACTGTAGCAACCATTTATAAATATTTTTTTCTTATTTAATCCACTCAGTAACCTCAGTTAGCTACTTACTGTTATTTCCCTGTTTCACAGATGAGGACACTAAGAGTTAAAGAGTATGTAGAGTATCTATTGGTTACACAGCTAGCAAATGTCAGAGCCGTGATTTATACTGAGCTTGTCCAACTCCACTGTTTGTCCTCTTCAACAATATCCTGTATTACCTCTTAAGAAGATTTACTGAAGGCTGTAAGGATTCAAAAACAAATCTGTTGTGTGATTTGAAACTAGATAATCTGGCTCTGACCCTGTTCTATCTACATGGTAACCTGGAAAAAAGGTGGCTCATGTTAAATTCTGTCCAGGCACTAGGTCATGGGGGCCATCATGGTACCCATCACGCAAATATAATATGCAGTGCCTGGAAGTCTACCTTCCTCAAAGAGCAGACTCAAGTGAAAGTAAATAGAGTGGACAGTAGGGTTCCCGAACCCATCTACCCAAAGCCTGGCTTCATTGTTTGTTTCCTGACCAACAGCTAACTCAGGTAAACGATACTGACAATGACTTCATTGTTCGTGCATAAGAATAGCAGCCTAAAAAGACATAACTTTAGTCTTGTGAATTTAACAGTAAAAATATAGCATAGTATAATGCAACTGCAGCATCCCTATGCATGTAATACACATATAGTGATTTGTTTTGCCTGTTCATACCTTATGAATAATTTTTGTTAGTAAAATCTTAATGGCCAACATTTCCAAAATCAATAACTTTCCTGTAGTTAGTTAGCAATTTCTGTAAATCATTTAGAAAATAAGATTGCTTATCAATTTTTTATTTGTTCATTATTTATATTTTATAAAATTTCAGAAATATGTAAAGCTTTTTATTATTCTAAGTTTATATAAAAATAGTCCTAAAATATGTATCTTTGTTAAAGTATTAAACAAATTTTTCATGATATGAATAAAATATGGTCCAGATGTTAGCATTGTTTGGTAGATCTTGAAATTACACGATTAAACTTCTCTAAAGATCATTCTATTTCATTATGAGTCTATTTCAGTCTGAAAGTAGATTTCTAGCTGGATTCTGTAGTCTACAACCCTGCCCATGCCCCATTTTATTACTAATTTTCATATAGAAGGAATGATTACATGAAACTGTGAGGGGGAAATAATACTGGAGATGAAAGAATAAAGATTCAAAAGTATGGTGACTTAATTAGTGCTGTGCCAAAACAAACAGAATAATAGCTCTATTTTTTCTTAATTGGGGTGTAGTTGCTTTACAGTGCTGTGCTAGCTTCTGCTGCACAGCGAAGTGAATCAGCCATACGTATATATGTATCCCCTCTTTTCTGGATTTCCTTCCCATTTAGGTCATCAGAGAGCATTAAGTAGAGTTCCCTGTGCTATACAGCAGTTCTCATTAGTTATCTGTTTTATACATAGTAGTGTATATATGTCAATCCCAATCTCCCAATTCATCCCATCCCAGTAGCTCTATTTAATGGACACCTCCTAAGTTCTAGATATTATACTAGATATTTGTCATATGATATTTATTAATATAGGAAAGATAATACCTCCAGGGCCCTTTTTATGTCTCAAATTTTTGAATTAGCAGTTACTTGGGGAACAATTAATTTTCTTTCTTAGCAAAAACTGAAGTAATTTTTGAAGTCTACTTAAATGAAGATAATGTCCAAGTGCTGTTTTCATGAGTTCTCCTATACATGAGTCCCAATGATCCCTTTTTCATATTAAAGTGTTCTAACAGACTTAAATCTGTTCTGAACCATTATATTCTAAATCACTAACTTATTAAATCCTACAGTTTTAAAGCAGCTCAAGCCCCTTTATTTTTCAAGAAAAAAAATTGAGCCTATCCAAAGAAATATCCCATGATCATGACTTAGTCAAGATCAGAATCCTGGTCTGTTCACTATACACTGTAGCATGTCACTGCTCTCATAGTGTATGGTCTCTTCTTGTGCTGTCTTCCCAATTCTTTTATATTTACAATTCGAAAAATAAGTTCTCAGAGGTTTATTTGGAGTTCGCCATATGAATTTGAAAAGGTTTGTATGAAATTAAATAGAATTTTAAGTTTTAAAATTATTCTAATTCATTATAAAACAAATTAGTACTGATATTTCTAG